CTCATGAAATTAGAATATTTGTCTTGGTCCAGGCTGCATTCCTTGCATAAGATTGTCATTATCCAAGAAAATGAAATTGACACTAAGTCAAAAGGATTCATCTTCTCATGAAATTAGAATATTTATCTTGGTCGGTTCAACATAAATTCGATTTGCTAGGTCTAACTCAAAACCAATATGATTGTTACAATCGCGCTGCTACGATCGGGAAATCGCCAGAATCGATAAAGAAAGAATACGAAAGCGAGAATCAAAAACACGACGCACGATTTACGTGGTTCACTAACACGATGTGTGTTAGCTACGTCCACGGGCGAGAGAGAGCCAGTTTCACTATATCAAGGAGATTACAGATTACAGGGGAGTATGAGAAGTATTTATAGTACTTCTCCATGTGGGTCTAAACCTAACCCAGACCCCCGATTACCAGTCGTAGCGGCTGATAGTCCGATTCAAGTCACATCAACAAATCTCCACCTTGACTTGAATCCTCTTCCTCTGAAATCTCTGATGTACTCTCCTCCTTCTATCTCTCTCCCGCCATCAATGCCCCGCAGGGCGGAGTCACCCACTCAAGACAATCAGCAAGTCCAAGCAGTGTTTGAACTTGCCATGTGCAACCAGCTTCGTGAACATATCAGCAGGATTATCCGCGGTGCCAACCTTCTTCACCTTAATCCTCTTCTCTGTCCTCAAGAAATGATACCTCACGTCGATGTGCTTAGTCCTCTCATGGTGGACTTGATCCTTAGCCAAGCATATTTCACTCAAACTGTCGCAATACACCACTGTATGATCATGATATAGACCAAGATCACCAACCAGTCCCTTCAACCATATTCCCTCCTTAGCAGCTTCTGTCAACGCCATATACTCTGCCTCAGTAGTAGGCAATGTCACCGCCGACTGCAAAGTTGCCTTCCAACTCACTACAGAACTCCCAAGAGTGAATACATAACCGGTCATCGATCTCCTCGTGTCAACATCTCCAGCATAGTCTGAGTCAGAATACCCAGACACCAAGCACTCTGTATCACTTCCGAAGCTAATCCCCACATCAGGTGTACCCTTAAGGTACCGGAAGATCCTCTTCACAGCCTGCCAATGCTCCTTCCCAGGTTGTATCATAAATCTGCTGACAACACTAACAGCATGTGCAACACAGGTCTAGTGCATACCATAGCGTACATCAAGCTACCTACTGCACTAGCATATGGGACTCTCGACATGTACTCCTTCTCAGCCTCTGACTGTGGTGCATAAGCTGAGGATAGATGAACATTTGAAGCACTAGGAGTATTTAAGGGCTTTGCTGAAGACATGCCAAACCTCGACAGTATCTTCTGGATGTAGCTCTTCTGTGACAAGAAAAGCTTCTTCTTCGACCTGTCCCTGTAAATCTCCATACCCAAGATCTTCTGAGCAGCTCCCAGATCCTTCATCTCAAACTCCGCACTGAGAAGCCCCTTTAACTTATGGATATCAGACTTTGACCTCGCAGCTATGAGCATATCATCCACATACAGAACAAGATAGATCATCGAGCCATCCTCCACCTTGTTGTGATACACACAACAATCATATGGACTTCTGCTATAACCCAGCTCAAGCATGTAACTGTCAAATATCTTGTACCACTGCCTCGGAGACTGCTTAAGTCCATACAAGGACTTCTTTAGCTTACAAACATAGTCTTCTTTTCCCGGAACCTCGAATCCTTCTGGCTGAGTCATGTAAATTTCTTCCTCCAACTCTCCATGTAGGAAAGCTATCTTCACGTCTAGCTGCTCGAGCTCCAAGTCATGATGTGCCACTATTGCTAGTAGCACTCTGATCGAAGTATGTCTGACCACTGGTGAGAAAATCTCATTGTAGTCAACTCCTTCCCTCTGCGAGAAGCCTCGTGCAACCACCCGAGCTTTAAATTTCATGCCCTCTTTAGAAGTGATCCTTCCTTCTTCTTGTAGATCCACTTATTTGTAACAATCTTCCTGCCATGTGGTCGTTTGACTAGCTCCCAAGTCTGATTCCTGTCATGGGATTCCATCTCATCTCCCATTGCGGCAAGCCACTAATCAGCTTCACCACCCGAAACCGCTTCTCTATAGGACTGTGGCTCTCCTGCATCCACTTCTTCAGCAACCTGAAATGAATACGCCACCATGTCCTCGAAACCATACCTCTCTGGAGGTACTCCTGCAGTCGCTCTCTTTGGTCTACCGGAAGCTATAGACTGTTGAGCTCATGCACTGGACTTTGAAGTTTCTGGCTCTGTAGAAACATCATCATGTTGATCTTCTCCACCTTGGTCCTCAAACTCACTCTCATTGAGAGTTTGCAGCTCCACCTGCTTATCAACATTCCTGCTACCTTCAACAACAGTAACCTTCAACATGGGGTTAAACATAGACTTCTCATCAAATATCACATTTCTACTGAGTATAACTCAATGCTCAAAAGGTGACCAGACTCGAAATCCCTTAACTCCATCTCCGTAACCCACAAATACACCCTTATTTGCCCTTGGGTTCAGTTTACCCTCATCCACATGATAATAAACAGGACACCCAAAAACTTTTAGTGAAGAGTAATCAGCAGGCTTACCATACCACACCTCATAAGGAGTCTTCAAATCGATACATGTGTGAGGTCCACGGTTGATCAGGAAGCACGCCATATTCACTGCTTCTGCCCAGAATCTTCTCTCTAGTCCTTCATTAGATAGCATGCACCGTGCTCTCTCCAACAATGTTTGGTTCATCCTTTCTGCAACGCCATTCTGCTAATGTGTATCTCTCACAGTCCGATGACGGGAAATCCCTTCATCCTTGCAGAATTCGTTGAACTCAGAATTACAGAACTCCCGACCATTTTCCGTTCGCAGCTTCTTGATCTTCTTACCAGTCTAATTCTCCACCTATGTCTTCCACTGCTTGAACTTCGTGAAATCCTCACTTTTCTGCTTCATCATGAAAATCCAAGTAAATCTCGAATAATCATCAATAATAGACAGAAAATACCTACTGCCTCCAATGGATTCAACTTGTGAAGGACCCAACAGTCGGAGTGGAGGTAATCTAGTATCCCCTTCGTCCGGTGGATACCCTTCTTGGGAAACTTGCTGCGATGTAGCTTCCCAAACACACAATGCTTGCAGAATTCCAAATTCTGCATCTTGTGCCCGCAAATAAGATCCCTCTTCGACAGAACTTGCATCCCCCGTTCACTCATATGCCCCAATTTCATGTGCCAAAGAGTGGTCATATCTTCCTGATGAACCTGAGACGATGCAACTGTAGCTGAACCAGATAACACAGACCCTTGTAATGCATACAAGGTCCCACGCTTCACGCCCTTCAGCACCTTCCTTGAACCTTTGCAGACATACACAACTCCACCTTTTCCTTTGAAACTGAAACCCTTGCTGTCGAGTAGACTCAAGGAGATCAGGTTCTTTGTCATTCGTGGACCATCATGTGCCCGAACCTTTATGGACCCAATTCCAACAACCTTGCAGACAGCTCCATTTGCCATGACCACGTTACCACCATCTATATGCTCGTAGGTTGTGAAGCAATCCCTGTTCGGAGACATATGGTATGAGGCTGCAGTATCCATAAATCACACATCTCCACGATGTGCCTTCTCATCTACAGCCAATGCAAGATTGTCTTCAGAATTGTTGTCCACTTCTCCCACGGCAACTGTACCTTGTTTCTTCTGTTGCCCTCTTCTCTTGGGACAGTTGTACTTCCAATGCCCCACTTCCTTACAGTTGTGACAAGCATCACCTGGCTGTGGACCGGGACCCATGGAATTTTTATTCGAATTCCCTTTACCAAATTTCTTCTTTCCCTTTCCACCTGTAACAGCCAAACCTGATGCCTCACCACCTGTACCAGATCTAGACGCCTTATGCCTGATCTCTATCGTATGAAGAGCAGACCTGACATCCTCCAACGACACGCTTTCTTTACCAGCAATAAAAGAATCAACGAAATTCTCATATGAACTCGGCAAAGAAACCAGCAGGATTAGGGCAGCATCCTCGTCATCAACTTGAACATCTATATTACGCAGATCCAGCAAAATAGAGTTAAGCCGTTGGAGATGTTCCCACAAAGGCGTATCTTCTTGCATCCTCAAGCTGAACAACCGTTACTTGAGATGCAGCTTGTTGGTTAGAGACTTAGTCATGTACAGACTCTCTAGTTTCAACCACAAGCCCGCGACAGTCTTCTCAGCAGCGATTTCAATGATGACGTCATCAGACAACGATAGCATGATGGTCGAGTGGGCCTTCTCCTCCAGGATATTCCACTCATCGTCATCGACCGCTGCCTTTTTCTGTTTTGCAAACAGCGACCCCCACAGCGATATGATCTTCCATATAGCGAAGTTGTTCTTCCCCGTGAACTTTTCGATCTTCATGTTCACCGACATCATTCTTCTGAATCGAAAATCCTAGCCTGATTTCCAACCGCGGCTCTGATACCACTTGTTACAAACCCGCTGCTACGGATCGGGAAATCGTCGGAATCGATAAAGCAAGAATACAAAAGCGAGAATCGAAAACACGACACACGGTTTACGTGGTTCACTAACACGATGTGTGTTAGCTACGTCCACGGGCGAGAGAGAGAGCCAGTTTCACTATATCAAGGAGATTACAGATTACAGAGGAGTATGAGAAGAATTTATAGTACTTCTCCATGTGGGTCTAAAGCTAATCCAATCTAGCAAAGGAAACGGTTACAGACCAGGCCCAGAACCCGAACCCAAATAACATTGAGCCAATTAGTCCGATTCAAGTCACATCAACAATGATCCAATTAGTCCGGATCAACTAAATTTCCAACAAGAGGAAGGGAAAGAACTCGAGGAGAGCACATGCAGTTAACGCATCAGAATATGTGTATAGAGGTTTTATTAGCGGTCCCAAAATCCTCTGTATAGTGGCTGTAGGCAGCAATGGCTACATAGGATTTGAATACAATAGCCTATTTATGTCTTTCATGATAACAGAAGTTAAAGATTTTATAGACCTTTTCTGTGGGATAAAGACTATCCCAAAAAATGTACTTTGAAGTATCCGCACAAGTAGAACTAGAAGGGGTCAATCGGTTGAAAAAAAATCCAAACTCTATAATTCCTGTCCCACAGCACCCCTCCTTCGTCACAACAAACCCTGCAATATTATAAACTTTCTTCAACCATACATCCTAACGAATTAAATTAAGGAGAAATTAACTTAACAAACTTAATTACCATAATCTTCAGGACGCCTAATGATATCGAAAAAAGGCGTGTACACGTCAACAAACTGGACACTCAAGTCAGGAAGCGAAACGTCATCGTTCAGTCGCTGAATTTCTTCGCTGAGCTTCTCGTTGAACATCACGGCCAGCTCGTTGGACTCGTCGGAACATTGCCTCTGTACTCCGCCGAGCAAAGTTCTGAAGGCTGGGGTACATCCCGTCGTTAATGCACTCAGGTGAACTATCTTTCGAGCTCCCTGTCCGTACAGTTCCCGGAGAAAGGCGGAAGCTTGGCCGACGAGAAAGGCAGCGTATGAAACCATTTCCGATGACGATTTTGTTCTTGTAAAATCGGATAGCGCGGAAGAGAAAGAACACGAGAATTTACGTGGTATCCCCGTTCAAGATGAACGAGACTACTCCACGGGAGCAAGCTCCAGAGAAGGATTTCACTAGTAGGCGGCCGAATAAAAATCAAGGCCAGTAGTTCTTGTTACACGTCTAAGCTAGCTGCTGGATATTTAACCTAGGGAATTAGGGAATTAAGTTACCTAATTATAAGATGATACTCATAATTAAACACGGTAACTATTTACATCCCAACACTCCCCCTCAAGCTGAGGTATGAAGGTCACAAATGCCCTGCTTGGACAAAAGTGAATGAAATGTAAGCCCAATTCCCGTAGGACACTAGGAAATAATTGTGGCCCAAGTGTAATTGTCACTTAATAATTTAATATAAGATAAATCCAATATTGATTAGGTTAATGAAAGGTAAATTCTTAATATGCCCTGATGGTGGGTCTATATAAAGAAGCTCTAGGATTGGTCCTCTCTCAACCCATTACGTAGAATTTCTTAGCCATCACAGAAATCTCTAAACCTAAAACCTAAAGGGGTCAAGAGGGAGAAACTCAATTCCGGTGATTACTACTCCAGTGCCGCCGCCGCTCTCGTTATGGATCGAGGTAGGTTTTCCGATCTATTATCGATTCGTGAAATCATCTAATTCTAAGATCCATGCTATTATGATCTATGTTTACATGAAACTGCTCAGCACCCAGAGCTTTGGTAAAAATATCTGCCAGCTGTGAAGAAGAACCGATCTTCAAGGGAGTGATTTCTCCTGTAACGACACGCTCACGAACAAAATGACAGTCCATCTCCACGTGCTTAGTCCGCTCGTGGAAGACAGGATTAGCTGCGATATGAAGAGCAGCCTGATTGTCGCAGTGCAAAGCAGTAGCCGCCGGCTGAGGTACACCAAGTTCCGTGAGTAAGAAACGCAGCCACACAACTTCACTGACAGCGCTAGCCATGGCCCTGTATTCGGCCTTGACAGAAGACCGAGCAACTACACGCTGCTTTTTGGTACGCCAAGAGACGGGAGCAGAACCTAACTGAACATAGTAGCCGGTAGTAGAACGGCGGGTCGTCTGACAGCCACCCCAATCTGCATCACAGTAAGCAGAAAGAGTCAAAGAATCACCAGAAGGGAAAAGAGGCCCTGGATGGGACTGTTGTCGTTGTCAACGTGAGCAGCCCGCGGAGTGTTGTTGTTCTCCCCAACCTGCCTGCGCGCGCTGCCCGAACGTTCCCCTTGCTTCCCTTTCTTTGAGTCGGAGGGAAAACCATGTAAGCGGTAACACATGTCTTTGGTGTGACCGAGTTTGCGGCAATGGCTGCACCGAACTGGTTATGCGTTGCCTGGCTGCTTCTCGTCACGAACTTGGAACGCAGCTGATTCCACTATGGGTCTGCGTCCAGCCGTGAGTTGTTGCTGTTCATCCCCAGCGACCAGCTGATAAGCTTCAGCAAGCGAGGGCAGCGGCTTGGTGGCCAAAACTTGGGAGCGAACCACAGCAAAGGAGTCATCGAGGCCAAGAAGAAAGTCGAACAAACGCTCGGACTCAGCCTTCTCGCGCGCCTGGCGAGCCACGTCGCAGGGACATCCTCCGCAACTGCAATGAGGATTAACGCTGCCTGTTTGTAGTTCATCCCAATAGGTTCTCAATTGAGTGTAGAATGCAGAAACCGATGACTTGTCTTGGCGGAGGGCACCTATCAGCCGACGCAATTCATAGGCGCGACCCGCGGATCTTGCTCCAAACCTTTGTCGGAGATCAAGCCATATTTCGCGCGCCGTGCGCACATCACGCACGCTGTTGCGAGGTTCTTTCGTCATCGCCGTCTTGAGCCAACCCTTGACCTTTGCGTCACAGCGGTCCCAAGCATCAAGTCGGACGAGATCGGTTGAAGGCGGTCTTGGCAGAGTGCCATTGACGAACGCCAGTTTGTTTTTTGCGATAAGAGTCTCAGTCATATCGCTGGCCCACTCTCCGTAGTTCAGGTTGGTCAGTACATCACCACCGAACAGCTGACCTGGATTTTCGGACGGATGGAGGAACTGAGGAGAGCCGAGAGGAATTGAGTCGAGGCCAGTGATGGCAGCTTTGCCGTCGCTCGAGCTATCGTTCTTCTCGCCCATGATCGCCGCAATCAAAGTCGTTGACAAGGATCACAGCTCTTATACCATGTAAAATCGAATAGCGCGGAAGAGAAAGAACACGAGAATTAACGTGGTATCCCCGTTCAAGATGAACGAGACTAATCCACAGGAGCAAGCTCCAGAGAAGGGTTTCACTAGTAGGCGGCCGAATAGAAATCAAGGCCAGTAGTTCTTGTTACACGTCTAAGCTAGCTGCTGGATATTTAACCTAGAGAATTAGGGAATTAGGTTACCTAATTACAAGATGATACTCATAATTAAACACAGTAACTATTTACATCCCAACAGTTCTGGTATGGAACAAAGAGGTCAATAAGACGTCGTTGTTGCCACATGATATTACATAAATGGTGTTTTCAACGACGTCTTTTTATTTAATTTATTTTTAAAAGAGGAACCCCTATGAAAAATTTCTGGGTCCGTTAATGATTTATTCCATACTATATTCACGTAAGATGATATACACTAGCTAACAGTCAGCCCGGTGCTACAGCTAAAACATATTGGGAAGGCAGAACCAAGTACATCTAGAATACAAAAAATAAATTATAAGTACCTATGAAGTCCGAAATGAGCCTTCCATCGGAGAATCTACCGGTGGGAATTCTTCCTGGAAAATCCCTTCCATAGGGAGGGAAGTTGGACTTGATCAAAGTTGCGATATGATCGTTGTTGCCGGTATCAAGAATCGAGTCCCCAAATACGAAGACAGCTGAAGAAGTTCTTCCTCTACCAACTGTTCCGTTTTCAGGTGGTGGCGGCGCCATAGTTATTGCCACGGCTTCGCAGAAGAACAGAGGACCAGTGGTTACAATAAGCTTCAGCAAGTAGAAGAACACGATGATGAGTAATGAATCTGAAGAAGCCATTACTATTTCTAGCTTAGTATGTTGGGTTTATTACTATATGCACTAAACTTTTGATTCTCCATCTACAGTCCATATAGGACTAACTGATGTACCGTGAAATGAAGTTGAGGCGGTAAAAGTAGAAATGTAGAAGGGCTCAAGTGGTTGTAAGTGAAAAAAACATGATATAAATGAACATACACAAAAATTACAGAGGTGCGGGGGCCAAGCTTGGTACACGAACAACAAATAATGCAGGCTAATATTGAATGATCGGTCGGAAAATATACAACCTCCATTATTGGCACTAAGAGTAGGGTGGAAGTTTGGTTTGCGGGTTGCGGGTATCCCGCAAACCGCACAATTTGTGGATACCAATACCCACAATTGTGGATAGTGGGTTGGGTGTGGGTAGCAAAATATTGATTTTTGTGCTTAGTGGTTAACCACTACCCACAGCGGTTTATCCACAAAACTCACATTAACCACATTAGTTATATTTATTTCTTCAAAATACTTTGTAACCTACATTAACCACAATAGTTATATTAGTTTGTGAAACTTGGAAGACTAAGAATTAAAGTAGCTACCAAAATCAAATATGCACTTATTCTATAAAACAAAACCAAGTCAATACACAATGTTCATGTGAGATACTTTTACTAAATAAGCATTGTTCTTGTGTTATATGTTTATTTCATAACAAAATCAAGTCCATAGATATAGTTAGATAAATTAATCGATCTGTTAAAAGAGGAGAATAATCGATAATTGTTAGTCAGATACCCAAACTCATCTTCATTTCTCCACGAGTTCACGAACAACACAACATGCAACCAACTACCAACAACACAAGACTATAATCGAGAGTGGAGAATATCGTGCCACTTTTGTGTTTTGCTGTTGTTGCCACCAGAGAAGTCGTGACATGCAACAATGTTAGTCTTGTAGCATATCACTCTGCTTCTCCATTATTTCAAAACTCTTTTCAAATCCATCACTTCTCAATTTACACTAACTAACCTATTGTATTCGAAATTTATAATTCATTTTACACTTCTCAATTCTCACTTCTCAATTTATACTGTGTCTCCACCGCCACCTCTGCAACCGATGGCCATTTCTTCGCCACCGCCTAATCTGCCGGCTATCACGGGAGCTCCGCTGCCATCGTCGTTCAATCCGCCGAGTGGAACGGTGTTAGTGGCTCCGGGTCCTGTGCATGCTTAATCCATTGATTCGCCATTGTTTCTCGTTTCCCCCAATTTATTCTTGTTCACTGGCTGGGAAATTGAATTCCTTGGATTGGAATTTCAGATTTGTATAGCGAATGGAGATGTGGATTGAATGAGATCGTTGCAACTGACTTACTCTATTGGGTTTCTTCCTTTCTTTCACTCTGTGGTTTTGGTTGCGTAGTTTTCATCCTAGAAGTTCTGTGAGTTACATTAGGTCCGTGAAATTGAAATTTTGGGCTTCTGAGTTGAATAATTTGGTAAGTGAAATTTTAGCTCGAGGGTAGAAGGGAGAAGGGTGGTAATCGATGGCGGCGACGACGAGTTTAGAAGAACGCTCGCCGCTGCATTTTAGTCGGACGAGGAGGAATCTGCTTCGATGGAGGAAGGAGAAGGTGAGGGGCGACGTGTGATTTTTGTGGATGGGTACCCGATATGGATAGTAGGGTAAGCGTTTGGTCCCGAAATTAAAAGCATTTTTTTGTTAAAAATGAAAAAAAGGAAAATGATAATAGGTAGAAATTAAAAAAAATAATTGAAATTTACTGAGTTGCCAGTGACATGGCTCGTTGACTGTTAGTAAACGCGTTTGACCGTCCAAGTCAACGGTCAAACGTCGGGTTTGGCCAATTTAGTTATTTTGATATATAATTTGGGCCAGAATATTATAGATCGAAAAGATTGGGCAGGATGTTTATTTTTATCAAAGTTCAGGCCATACAAATATATTAACCCTTTAATTTAATAAACATGGTTACAATTAACAATTCATTCACATATACATTACTTTTTTTCAAAACTAGACATACACTGATTTACATTTCTCTCTCCTCACTCTCCCCACTGTCGCAGTCTGCCATGAACCACGATCTCCTTCCCAATAACTCTTCATGCCACATCTCTACAACTCTTCCTACTATCGCTCCTCTCCCTGCTGGCGGCTGATACGTTTACTTCCAGTGGTAATGTTATCAGTACACTGTTAATGTTATCAGTGCACTGATAGTTGTTTCAGTGCAATGGTAGTTGTGTATCAGTGTACTGGTAACATTATCAGTGTATTGGTAACATTGTCAGTGCAATTGTATTAGTGTATAGTAAAGTTATCGGTGCAATGGTATTTTTTTTAATGTAGTGATATTTTTTTTAGGTGGTCGGAGGGAGTCTGCCGGAGAGATCTGGTCGGAAGGAATCTGTCGGCTGGAGTAAGACCGGAAGGAGTATACCGGTAGAAGGAAACAAAACGGTTGGAAAAGGAAAGAATAATATATAGGAAGAGAGAAATGTAATTAAAGTATATTTAATTTTGAAAAAAAGTGATGTAATTAATCTGGAACAAGTTGCAGACTGTTTCCATCAACCCGAAGTGTACCTGCAACGGCTGTTCGTGTGACATAGCCAGGCAAATGCGGGAAAAATTAGAGACCAAGCGCCTTTTGGATTTCTTACTCGCCCTCGATGATGGTTTCGCGGTCGTGTGCACGCAGGTTTTGAGTTTAAAGCCGTCCCCATCTCTGGCCGAGGCGTATCAAATGGTCGTCACGGAGGAGCATCAGCGCCAGCTCACTGTTGCTCGGCGTCCCGTTGTTGATTCATCAGCTTTCCAAACTCGCGGCGACAAGGACGAGAAAGACAAGCCGCGTTGTGAGCATTGCCGCAAGCGTGGTCATACTAAAGACATGTGTTTCAGGTTGATCGGCTATCCATCCGAACAAGGGAAGGGCCGGAAAGGGAAGTAACATACTGAAGGCTCTCTTCGTTCTACTCCCGTTAGCGCGTCTCAAGTCAGCAACGACGAGAGTCCCATCCCGGGGTTGACTGGAGCTCAATTCGCTTATTTGAAGCAATTTTGGGAGCTTCGACTTCTACTTCACCACCCCAGGACTCGACAGCTCATATGGCCGGTAATGTTACTCAACCTTGTAAATGGCTATTGATTCAGGCTGTAACGAACACATTGTTCGTGATGCTACTTTGTTAGATAGTATTGATCGTTCAGGCGTTTACTCATCAGTTCGTATACCGAATGGGAAAAGTATTATAGTGGAAGGTATTGGCACATTGGTTTTGAATGATCACATTACCTTACATCGTGTTCTTCTTGTACCTGAGTTCAAATGCAATCTACTGTCAGTGAGTAGACTTACACAGGATCATGTTGTGGCTTTGACTTTCCTCAGTTGTATGTGTGTGATCCAGGACTCAAGTTCCAAGATAGTGACTGGACTAGGGAGTCTCCATGATGGTTTGTATTATTTCGAGCGGGTGAACCCAGTTTTTCTAGCTTCGTGCCGGTTTCCTGAGGTGTTTGCAGCAACGGGCACCGAGGCGCATCAGCTTTGGCATCAAAGACTAGGGCATCCTTCTATGGAGAAGCTTTCTACTTTACATGTTGTTTTGGGTTCAAAGATTGTTAATTCTTCCCAGACTCATTGTGATTCATGTTGGCGAGCTAAACAGACTCGCACAGTTTTTCCTTCTAGCTCTATTACGACTCAGGGATGTTTGATTTGATTCATGTGGATATTTTGGGAGGTTATAAAACTCCAGCACTCGACGGTTCTCGGTTTTTCTTGACAGTGGTTGATGACTATAGCAAGACCACCTGGGTTTATTCACTTAAGTACAAGTGCGATGTTGAACGGTATCTACTTACGTTTTGTCAGATGGTCATTACTCAGTTTCAGTGGCAAGTTCGTCATATTCAAGCCAATAATGGGTTGGAATTTCAGACTCGTTCTCTATGTCATTATTATGAGGAGAATGGGATGGTTCTTCAAACTTCTTGTGTTAATACACTTCAGCAGAACGGTGTCATTGAGCGGAAGCTTCGTCATCTTCTTGATACAACACGAGCTCTCCGGTTTCATGCAGGCTTGCCAGTTCGTTTTTGGGG